GCCTTAGACACTTGAGCCACAGGCGCCGAGCCTCTTGGACAGTTTTTAATGGTCTGGGTTTTTTGCTCTTTTTTGTTGATAAGCTTGAGTTCATTGTGGATTCTGGTGATTAGGTCTCGGTTGGATTCATAGTATGCAAAGATCTCTTCAGGGAAGTTGTTTTGAGACAGTCTCTGTCCCCTGAGTAGAGTGCCTTGGCGTCATACCTCAAAGCAACCTCAAACTCTTGGGCTTGAGCAATTCTCTTGCCTCAGCCTCCCAAGTAGTTGGGACTACAGGTGTGAGCCACCATAGCCTGCTAGTTTTTCCATTTATAGTAGAGACAAGGTCTTGCTTTTGCTCGGGCTGGTCTTGAACTCCTGAGCTCAAGCGATACACCAATACACTTGGATTGATCACCAGTATCATTTCTTGCCTAATGTAGTGTTTTTCAGACTATAAGGTGCTATAGTTACCACCTACGCCCCTGGGATGGGGCCTGAGATCCTCTCTTTCTAATAGGCTGGGAGATAGTATCTATTCTCCTGAGAGATTCTACTTGGAATAATAAGGGCTGCGCCTCTGCGCCTGTACAGATCCAGATATTAAGAAGTCAGATCTGGAGATCCGCCCGGGAGATATGCATACCTCATCTGTTTGTTCAACAAATTAGTGACTATGTGTTAGTCCCTGAAGATCTACATTAAGTAAAGGAGACACTGGCCCCGCGCGGTGGCTCACACCTGCAATCCTAGCACTCTGGGAGGCGAGGTGGATGGATTGCTTGAGCTCAGGAGTTGGAGACCAGCCTGAACAGGAGTGAGACCCAGTTACTGAAAATAGCCACATGTTGTGGCAGGCACCAGTGATCCCAGCTACTCAGAAGGCTGAGGCAAGAGATTTGCTTGAGCCCAAAAGTTTGAGGTTGCTGTGAGTTATGATGCCACTGCACCCCACAAAGTGAGAATCTGTTTCAAAAAACAGAAAGAAAGAAAAGCAGACACTGCCCCGCCCTCCCGAGGTTTCAGTTTGGCCCTGAAGCCAGACACTTGGGGAGAGATGTCAAAGCTTAAAAAGCTCAATACACAAAGGTGCCCTGGGCTGGAGGCTGGCCGAGGCTCCTGCCCCCGGGCGACCCTAGGGCGCATGCCCGAGGGCTGTCGCGTCCACTCAGCTGATTGGCTGGCGGGGGCGGCTCCCCGGCCTCGGTCTTTAAGGCTGGGGCTGGGTCCGTCTGGCGGTTGGAGGAATGTAACCGCCATGCTGAGACGCGATGGCTGGGGCTGGGGGCCGACTCCGAGGCCGTGCCCGAGGCCGTGCCCCGGGGCACTTTTCGCTTGCCCTGCCTGTGGGCGCCGTGAGTATCTGCGAGGGTATTAACGAGACCCTTTCCTCCTACATGTAGGTGTCTTCCTTGCCCCTTCCCTTAGGGAGAGGAATAATAGTAACATTGTATTTATGGAGCTGCGCCATGAGCCAGGCGCTGGGCCCAAGGCCTTAGCCTACTGATGGTAGAATCCTACAGCTGTGAGGTGGGTACTTAACATGGTTTCAGAGGTGACTGAAACTACTCGAGGTTACAAGAGAGTAAATGGTGAAGACTGAATTGAAATCCAGGTGCTCCTACTGGCCTACCACTCTCATCTCCTCGCCATAGTTTAGAAGCCAGGTACTTGCTTAGCGGGAGTCTCAAAATGAGCAGGTATATTGGGGGTGGACGTGGCAGAATCCTGGTGCTTATTTTTCAGTTTTTTTTAAAATAGAAAAAGTGACATGCTAAGTCTATAGAGGAAGGATAAACACCAAGTTCAGGATAGTTACTGTCTCTTGAGTCTGCAGAGGTATTCTATTGAGTTAGTTTTATTGCTTAAAACACGTGGTGGGGGCTCGGCGCCTATAGCTCAACCAGCTAGGGCGCCGGCCACGTACACCTAAGGTGGCGGATTCGAATCCCCAGCCCGGACCCGCCAAACAACAATGACGGCTGCAACCAAAAAATAGCCGGGCGTTGTGGTGGGCGCCTGTGGTCCCAGCTACTT